AGCCTGTAGAAACCGTTACCTTCGTTTTCCTGAATTTGAGGCCTGTCTTTTCTAATGTCATGTAAATACTTTGAATGCTTCCCACATCAGCTGATTTCTGCAGTCGATGTCGATTTTTTTTTTCTCTCCTCGAACCTTGCTTGACGTTGTTCACATCTCCAATCTCTCAAATTTATGTTCGCATTGAAAGAAAACATATTTACGCATTGACAGATCGAATACTTTTTCTTCTTCACTATGATGAAAATTTTATTAAAGTGGGATTTTGATTTTCTAATGTTCTTCTATTTGTTGCAATGTGTCTATATTAAACGTTTTGTCTGCGGATCAGGCACTGAATATATGAATCGAAGTTTTTCGTTAAATCTTCTTGACATCTTGCACAAGTGTTTCGCTGTTTCAGCGATAGACGCGACTTTATTATTGTTTTGCCAGGGAAATTCTCGAAGCCACAAGTGGCGTCTATAAGATCCGCATAAGTTGGAAAAATACTTTCCTTGAGATTATTAGGTGCGTTAAATACAAAACAAAGAGTTTTTTGGAGTTTTCGGTATATTGGTGATCAGATTAATCACAGTTCAACATACTTGAAAGAAATGGTAAGTTAGAAGATGATAAATACTTATATACAGGGCTGTCATAAATGCTTTATGCAACCATGTGGGAACTGATTTGTTCCACCTCTCCAACTGTGTAACTGTCTCATTTGGCGCTGTTTCGTGCTTTATTGGTTGCATAAACTGCAAGAGATTAAGTTGAAAACTGATAAATTTGTTCAAACTCAAAATCAATTGATAAAATATTTGTTTCAGTTGATAGTAAACAATTTTTATCTACCTGTATAAAAATTAACTTTTAATAAGAAATGGAACTACAATAAATCTTGAAAATGTTCACCGTTTGCACATTATTCTTCATATTTTTGGAAATGTTCGGTAATATTCTTCACTTACGCTATGACGTTAACTGAATTTTCATTATGTGGTTGATTTCTCACATTTCACATCGCATTTCGCAATTCTTGTCGCATTTCTCACTTCTTATTTCGAATTTCTCATTTCACAATTAATTTCTGATTTAGCATTTTTCATTTCCCATTTCGTATTTCTCATTCCTCATTAAGCTGTTCTCGTTTCGTGTTTATCTTTTTCGTTTTTCAAGTCTAAATGCTTATTTTCCATTCCTCATTACTCAATTCTCATTTTTCATTTTATTTTGTTTAATTGGCATTTCACATTTTTCATTTTTCGATAGTAATTTCTCATTCTCCATTATTCATTCATCACTTTACAAATCTTATTTCATATTTCGCATTACTTTCGAATATCTCTTTTCACATTTCACATTAATTTTGCAATTCTAATTTCTCATTTCGTAATTCTGAGTTTTCATTCCTCATTTGAAATTTTTCATTTCTCATTCCTAATTGCTCACTTTTCATTTCTCATTCCACATTTTTAATTTCAAATTTTTTATTTCACCTTCCTACGTTCACATCTCTATTTAACATTTCTCATTTCGCATAATTTGGAATTTCCCATTTATCATTTTATACTTCTGATTTGCCATTAATTTCTTATTTCTCATTTTTCATTTCTCATTGCACATTTTTTAATTTTAATTTTCATTTCGCATTAATTTCACATTAATTTCGTATTTCTCATTTTTCAGGTATAATTTCTCGTCTCTTTTCTCATTTCTCATGACGCATTTCTCACTTCGCATTTTTCAGATCTCATTTCGCATTTCCCTTTTATGATTCCGCATTTCTTATTTTCTTTTCCCGTTAATTTCGTGTCCTTTGAATCTCATTTCGCATTACGCCTTTCAAATTTCTTATTTCTCATTTATTCCAATTTCTCTTTCTTCTCATTTCTCATTTAGTATTACGCGTTTTGTATTTAAATTTCTCATTTCGCATTTTACATTTCTTGTTTCGCATTCCCTATTTCTCATTTTTCATTTCGTATTTTTCATTTATCATGTCTGATTTCTGGTTTAGCATTTCGCTTTTCTCATTTCCCATTTCATATTTTGTGTTTTGCATTACACACTACATATTTCGCGTTTCTCCCTTCTCATAACGCATTACTTTACATTCATTTCGCATTTCTAATTTCTAATTTCTCATTTCGCATTTCGTATGTTTCATCTCTCATGTCTCAATTCCCATTCCCCATTACTCAATTCTCATTTCTCATTTTATATTGGTTTGGCATTTCATAAATATCATTTCATATTTCGCGTTCCTTTTGAATTTGTCATTTCTCATTTCCCATTTCTCACTAATTTCGCATTTCTAATTTCTCATTTCGCCATTCGCAGTTCTCATTTCTCTTTTCGTAATTCTGAGTCCTCCTTTCTTATTCCTAATTACTGTTTTTTCGTTCCTCATTACACATTTCTAATCAGTAATCACATATTGCAAATTTCTAATTTATAATTTCACATTTCTAATTCCACATTTCTAATTTCACATTTCTAATTTCACTTTTCTAATTTCACATTTCTAATTACTCATATCTAATTTCACATTTCTCATTTCTCATTTCATATAATTTCGAATTTCTCATTTTTCATTTTATAGTTCTCCTTTCGAATTCCCATTTTCTCATTTCCAATAAATAATTCCAATTACTGATTTCTCAATCGTCATTCCCGATTACTCATTTCTCACTTTATATTTCACATTAATTTCTCATTACGCATTTCATATTTTTCATTACGCATTTGGTATTTTTAATTTAGTACTTCTTATTTTTCATTTTTAATTTTCTGCGTTTATTTCGCATTTTTCACTTCTCGTTCCGCAATTCTAATTTCTCTTTTCTCGTTAATTTCTATCTAATCTTTAAAGTCTCATTTCGCATTACGTATTTCTCATTTCTCATTTCTCACGTTGCATGTATCATTTCTCGTTTTGCACTAATTTCGCATTCCTTTCTCTTCACAATTCCCATTCTGTATTTTGTGTTTCATCTTTCACAATTCATATTTCGCATTTCTCACTTCTCCATTTGCATTCATTTCACATTTCTATTTTCTCATTTTACGATTCGTATTTTTCATTTCTCATTTCGCACTTCTCATTTCTCATGCTTCATTTTTCATCTCTTGCTTCGTATTTGGCTTTTTCCATTTCTCTTTCTCATTTCGCATTAATTTCGCCTTTTAATATCCTATTTCGAATTTCGAATTTCTTATTTCTCATTTATTACAATTTTTCTTTCTTCTCATTCCCCATTTCGCATTTTTCATTTCTTATTCCTCATATTGCATTTCTCTTTTATATTTCTAATTTCTCATTTATGATTTCGTCTCACTTCGTATTAATTTCGTATTTTTAATTTCTCATTGCGTTTCTCATTTGTCGTTTCTGATTTTCGCTTTTTTAATTTTTCATGTTGCATTTTACGTTTCCAATTTCTAATTTTATTTCTCATTTCTCGTTTCATTTTTCTGATTTCGCTTTTCTCATTTCTCACTTGCCACTTCTCGTATATAATTTCTCATTTCCCATTTCGAGAAATTGAAAATGCGAAATTAATGCGATATAAGAAATGGGAAACGTGAAAACAGAAATGAGGAATGCAAATGAAACAGGCGAGATCGAATTGTGAAATGAGGAATTTGAAATGCAAAATTAATGCGAATTGGAAAATGTGAAATGAGAAACGACATGCAAAATGAGATGCGAAGTAATGGGAAATGAGAGGTACGAAACACGAAATATGAAATGAGAAATGCAACATAGGAAATGCGAAATGCGATGTGAGATGTGAGAAATGAAAAATGAGAAGTAAATGAAAAATACAAGGAATAATTTTTATTCTTTTAGGTGAGTTTTACTCAAATCTGGGACATCGAGCAGTTTAGTATTGGTTACCTGAGATATTTTGGTTTCATCACTAACGAACAGAATGATATCTGGTATGAAATGGGTTCGTTAGGTTCCAGTAGAGTGTTGATATATGTATGATTAACTGTACCCTGAGATGAATAATAAGAAGTAAACATAAAATTATCACCCAAGTGAAATTAATAGGTTCAATTTTTTTGTTTATGTGAAAAAAAAATGCATACCCATTTTGTAAAAAAAAATAAGTTATTATTATTTTTGTATATTTTTCTGTTCAAAAATGTTCAGACTATGTACAATATTATTTATTTTTTTAATTACATATTCTTAATTGTTAAAATAGGGAAAGAAGAATGTAAGAATAAATAAAATAAATAAATCGGTTTGCTATAAACCAAAGAGGTTTTCGTTTTTTCTTGATTAATTGAGAAATTAATTTATTTTTAAAATGTTTCAGATTCCCAAGCTGTATTGTATACTTTGAAGCTATTAGAATTCCATAATGAGGAGAATTAAATTCATCATTTACCTGTTACAAGCTTTCAAATTGAAACTTTGAAGTCATTGTATGTACGAACTTGCATTGCATTGTGTTAAAGTTCGACACTTTTGCATGCAGTAGTGCAAGCATAATGTTTTACCGTCGCTCGGTGAAGTTCGTTAACTTATTTCATTAAAATTTTACGACAATGTAATAATAAAATCATACAAAAGCGTGCCCAGAAACCATAAAAAAATCGTTTAAACTTAAAATCGTCGCGTTCGATCTAAGTAGTAATGCTACAGCTTGGCTCAGGTAATTTCCTAGTCTCCAAGGTCGTTAGCTCGCTCTACAGCGCATTTCGTGTCAAAGTGCATAGGTGTTTTGCAAACTTAATAAACTTAATAAGCATTCAACCACATTAACTCGTACTTTTGCACACACTTAAGCTGTGCTGCCGGAAGTTTAAAGGGATTATCAGCAGACGACTAAATTGGAAACCATTCCCATGTCCTCTATAAAACGTTAAGGGCTTAGTGTTATAGGGGAGGAAGTTACATATTTTACAGCCGTCCGCGATTGCTCCCTTAACTTGTTTGCCCGGGTCCGTCCGTTTGCATTAAAGTGCCTTACAATGTTTATCCATCACGTGCTGTTTACCTAAAGCGAACTTAACTCCGGTCCAGGCTTCCCTGACGTAGTTGAAAAGCCGTCGATACAAAGGCCTACGAGATCTATGATGTCTTATTGCGGTGGTGTCTTCCTGTGGCTCGTTGTGGGACGCTCGCCGTTGCTGGCCTGGCTGTTGGGGTTGCTGTTGCTGCTGTTGTTGCTGTTGTTGTTGCACCATGGGGTACATTATGCGCCCGGCATCGTAGAGCCGACCTGCGCCTCCACAGCGCAACCCCTTCGCTACATCGCTATTTTAATTGACGAAAGGAAGCAAACACGTGGAAGCCATGGGGATGTGGTTAGCAAAGCGATGTGTTAGTAGGGTTAGTTTGATTTTCCAGACGTCTGTAAAGAAAATCCACAGTTACAAAAGCGGAAGAATTGTTAAAAAAAGGAACATGAACAGGCAACGATACAACGCAGAAGTAAAGCATACGATACAATAAAATCAAAACATACAGATATTAAACTTTATTTTCGTTCACTTGTTAGTGTTGTATTAGTTATTGACAGTTAAATGCGCACTCCACAGGTTAGGATTGCACTAACGGTCGCTGACGCGACTGCGCCGGGCGGCGTAAATCCTTCCCTGAAGAATGAATTGCGCAGAGAGCCGCGATTCTACTCAACCCGTGACGAGAGGACTGCACCAACCACTTAATTCGACGTTCACAAGAAGCTCAATCTTTGAATTGTACTTGTATATGTCAATAAACTTCTTGTACAACCCCTACAGTATTGAATTTAGGATTTAATTCAACATTCTAGGACTGATTGCAAAAAACGAATTTTCAGAGAATTGTTAGTACAACCCCATTGAAATAGAGTGGGGGTTATGTAAATCCAACTTAACGAGCACAAGTTTTCGGGCTTCATACAAAAATAAGGTCGAGAATTTATTGAGGTTCTTTCCAAATGTAGTTCAGAGATGTGAGAAAATGTTGAAAAAATACCTACATCCATTATTTCATTGGAGAAAACTGATTCAGAATCGCAATTAGAAAATGATGATAATGACAGCTTAATAAACTTAATAAGTATTCAACCACATTAACTCGTACTTTTGCACACACTTAAGCTGTGCTGCCGGAAGTTTAAAGGGATTATCAGCAGACGACTAAATTGGAAACCATTCCCATGTCATCTATAAAACGTTAAGGGCTTAGTGTTATAGGGGAGGAAGTTACATATTTTACAGCCGTCCGCGATTGCTCCCTTAACTTGTTTGCCCGGGTTCGTCCGTTTGTCCAACGGAATAATGGACGGTGAGTCCGAATAGTAGCTAACATTTAAACTGTTACTTAAGTAATGAAAATAATTAAAACTAAAAATTTACTTTTAGATGATGAGATTTACCACCCAGAAAAGATTTTAAGCTTGTAAGATTCTTGTGAACATACACTAGAAAATTATGAAACAATTTGATAATTCTTGCAACTTTTAGTCAAAAGTTCTGACACATAGATGAAAAACTACTGCTTAAAGTTAAAATTAGATACCTGCTTTTTGATATTCTGGTAGCTACGTGGTCATCATATATATTTATTCCAGCTTAATTCTGTGTCAGTAACTACCGGGTGACTATTAATATTTTAATTAAATTTTTGCGTTGGCAATTTTGAATTAGTGGCAGCAATTATCGTTTGTCAATTCACAGTTGTCAATTTTGACATAAAATTTTGAATATGTTGCCAACCTGACAAAAAAATCACAAACTTTTCTCGGTATTTTGCACCTTATGGTGGACAATACTTCTTATACAAGGTTTCAATAAATGATTATAGGATAGCAGTAGGTCATGTAAACCTGCCGCCTCTCAGATTTAACTGTACGGAGAACCGTATTAAGTGCCCAAGGACGCATGACAAAGATCACACATTGATCGCACACATGTGTAAAACTGGTTCCCTAAACGTTTCCCATGTTTTTAAAGAATCAAAATAATTCATTACGATAAAAAGAAACCAATTTATTACGGTTAAATATCACAGTCAATGTTGAAAATGTTCATCATTCTGTTCAAGGCACATGTTCACTCTCTTTTTAATTTTAAAAGTGTTCTGTAACATCCTTTCGTCAATACTTTGGACCCGTTGTTCAATTGTTCAATTCTGCTCAAGTCGTCTCAAATCATCAACAATTTCCTCAGATGAAGTCTTCCAAGAGCTTTCTCTTTGTTGATACTGCCCGTTCGAACAAATCTGTTGACTACATCTCTAATGTGGGCCTTTAACGATGTTTCTTGAATTATTAAATCAGGGTATTTGGCCAGATATTCTGGCTTACAAGCGGTTACAGAATACACACACTCTTCGTTTACGAAGTCCTATTGCTATAACAAGACATAACGATGAAAGTGTCTTGTTCAACAAGATAAATCATTTTCACAGTCTTCGCTTCCTAGCACAAAAAAAAATTTCGTACGCAACCACCAAGAGTTCTGAACATGACTGTTTTGTTGTTTTGTGCTTGGATCAACGAGAATTACTGTAATTCGCACTTGAAAAACATTAAAACAATAAAAACGACGACTTTAAATGACAGGTTACAAATGACATTAGACATTAATGTGATTAATGTGTGCATAATCACGGCCATAATTTCAGCGAAGCGGGATTTTTTAAATCCATGGCCAACTACGCCCTTAGCATCATTTATAAAAGCCCTGTATTTTGAGCTAATTACACTATTATTTGTGAGAAATGCATGATCAACAGAATGGATGACCCCACATTGCTTTGTGAGGTGCTATCAACATATAAAGTGATATCTTCAGCCAATAAGTATTGAAGCAGATAATTTATATACAAAAGATTGGGCCAAGGAGGGATTCATGGGGCACAGACAACACGGGGCTTATCTGACATTAACCCTTTAGTAAAAATAGTGACAGTGGAAATAATAGAATGGCTTTTTGAAATTCAAATAGTCTAGCAGAACTAAATATTATTAGTTGATTCCACAAAACTTAAAAAAAAAAAAATTGAGATTATACACGGCCTGTCATTTCAAAGTTTGTAACAATGGAAATCGCAAAGATACCGGAGGCAGGGATTATTTACGCGACCATCGCGCCACGCCAACGCGATGCAGAAAGACGGATTTGACCGTCCCGTTATAACAGTCACCGTAGCTATTTTGTACCCGCGAGTGCGAAAGCCGTTTCCGTACCGTCCCCGTTTTGACGTCGCCGCCTCCCCAGGATCCGAAACAGCCTTGTCCAGAGAGGAGCCAGGGAGGTCAAAGGAAGACCTTGACCGGGATTCCAGTTCTTTTTGTATTCTGAAGGTTTCTTTGACTTATCGGATAATTTACTTATCTTAGCCTTTATAGCTGGTAGGCCAGTTGAGATATCGGCGATAATGTCACCGTCACCGATTTCCGGATTTTGTCGCAAGTTTCAATAACAATGTTGAACAGAATTTTACAAAGACAAAATTTTTGTTTCTTTATTCGAAGCTAACATTTAATTTAAGTTTTTTTGAAGAATACAAAAAATTTAAATCATGACGTTGGCCTATTTTACGAAAAGTTAAATAAGATTTTCAAAAAGCACGTACCACTAAAGCGAAAACTTATCAGCCATTTTTTTATTTGGTATCACAAACCAAAAATTACACTGATAAGGTTGAACTATAAATAGTGGAATATATTTAAGAAAATAGATTGCAGTATTCTAATAACAATTTTAGGGTGCTAAATATAACAAACTGGTTCTAAGTCTGTTTCGACAGAATTTCCCTCGCGCCTGAAGTAGGCACGGTCCAACAAATCCCACTTCTTTGAAAAATTATAAAATATGATTTTGCCACTTTTGTTTTGTGATAAAACCAGAGAAAGAAATAACACCCCCGCAGCCCCTGAGGCGCAAATTCAAGGGGACGCGCGGATAATGTACTTAAATCAGATAACCAACCGTCCTCTCAGTAATAAAACATGCTTAACTTCGACTGTTTATGTTTATACCTCCAAAGGAGCATGCTATACGTGTGTTTCGGGTTTTTTCATAACAAAATTTTGTGATGACATTCGTAGTATACATACAAAATTTGAAAATAGAAATCGACACAGACAGACAAACAGATCGACAGAGAGACAAGCAGACGGATAGACAGATGTCAGACAGACGGAAACAGGAGACCACTTTTTTCGTAATCTAGGGCTCATGAAACGTCGAGAAAACAAAAAATTGGTATGTTGCTTACGCTCGGGAAGTAAAAAGATAAAAGAATGAAAATTTTAGAGTGCTAAGGGCAAATATAAAATGCATGTGCTTCTAACTTGAATAATATGAGTGCCAAATACTACATTGGTCTAAAGTCAGATAACCATCGAAAAAAAAAATCACTATACTCAAAACACAGGTGGCCTAATCTTAAAGTGGGTAAGTAGCTGTTATTATGGTACATCTTATTTTGTTACTATTGAATATAGGCGGGCGCAACATTGCTGTATTCTCAAATTTTCGAGAAAACGGGGTGAATCGTTCTTGATTTAATCAATAAAAAAATATCAATAATACTAGTCACAATTTAAAAAAAAATCGATGAAGGTGAAATTCGAACTCACACGGGCAGAGCACAAGTGCGGCAAGAGAAGGAATTTGATTCATTAGCGAAATATCAGCTACATGAAATGGTGGAGAATATTGACGAAAAAGAATGTTTTCAAAGTATTTGTGATAAAAATTAAAGCGAATGCATAAACCACGACCACGGGGCTAAATTGTTTTATAAAATTTAAATAAATAATTAGTCTTAACAACGCACATTAATATGATTCACATTACTGTTTATAATAACGGCTAACTTTCCCTTTATTGCCCGTATTTTACCGTACTTCTTTTTGGTAGACCAGTAATTGCCCTATAATCTGATGAGTTATCCTTTATACTAATAATAGCAACCAAAATTTTTAGTTATTTATTACCACACTAAAACGTTATTGCATCTAGGAATTTGAGTTCTCTTGCAAAATTATTTATTTAACCTCTTCATTATAACTACGAAGTAAATGGCGAGCTCTTTGAATACCTTTTATAAAATAATAGCTCTTCTTTTTTTGAAAGTTGATTGTTTGGTTTATGTTTACTCTTTGAAATTGATTTTTATTCCCGAGCGTAAGCGAAGGAAGTATTGTAATCGAGTCCGTCGGCCGACTCTCTACTTTTACGTTTTCTCGACCTTTCATGACCCTTACAGTACGAAGAAATAGGTCTCCCTTTCCGCCTGTCTGTCTGTCCGTCTGCAGTCACGATTTATTATTAGACAGACAATCCAGAAAGTACTGGTCCGATTGTTGTCAAATTTTGTATTTATATTAGGAATATCATGTCACTTCAAAAT